CATTTGAATATGACTTATCACACATCTAAAAGCTTTGAGGAGTCTCTGAAATACGAGAGACAACAAGCTCATAAACTCTCATCTTAGCTGGTTATTCACCTCTTGATTTTTGGTTTATCAGAATTCCTGATGAAGAACTTTAATCTCCATAAATTTCAACAGAGTCCCTCTAGAACACATTTCTAGGCGTTCTCCCCATTGGAGGTGGTGAAAACACCTCAGCCATAGCCTAATATTTCCAAAACTGAGTCTTATCCCATCCAACATACTAGATCTATCAAAATCATTCTATTAACAAACAAATGGATATAACTCAATTACATGCTTAAGAACTTCCTCCATAAACCGGTAACATTCCTCTCCCACACCACACGCTCACCTAGAAGACTTCATCAGAAACTCTTCGCTATCTCAGAACCAGAATCGCAACGGATGTCGCCCTCGGATACCGCTATCTTCGGGGTCATCCAGGTTTAGCCTAACCTAGCCGGGGCCAACGTCATCACTTTAGCCATCTTTGACGTCAAAAATCACACTTAGAAGCTCATTAGCCTCTGTTGACTGACGTATTAACAAGGTACGACCGACGTACATATAACGTGGACCAACCAAATGAGGCCACGTGTTGGGGCTCTTTTGGTGGGGGCCTATCGACGTGGAGGGTGTGAAACTCGTGGCCTCATTCGGTTGGTTCACGTTGTATGTGCATTAGTCGGCAGAGATCGAGCAGCTTTTAAATGATTTTTGGTGTCGAAAGTGGCCGAAGTGATGACATTGGCCCCTGCGGGGTTGGGCTAAACCCGGATGACCCCGAGGACAACGGTATCCGAGGGCGACACCCGTTGCGGTTCCGGCTCTAAGACAGTGAAGAATTTCTAATGGGGACCTTTAAGTGAGCATATGGTGAGGGAAAAGAATGTAACTGGTTTATGGAGGAAGTTCCTACACATGTAATTGAGTTATATCCATTTGTTTGTGAATAAAATGATTTCAATGGACGTAGTATGTTGGACGGGATAAGGCTCAATTTTGGAAATATTAGGTTATGGCTGAGGTGTTTTCACCACTTCCAATAGGGAGAACGCCTAGAAACTTGTTCTAGAGGGACTCCGCCGAAATTTATGGAGATTAAAGTTCTTCGTTAGGCATTCCGATAAACTAAAAGCTAAGAGGTGAATAACTGGCTAAGATGAGAGTTTATGAGCTTGTGGTCTTGTGTATTTCAGAAACTCCTCAAAGCTTTTAGATGTGTGATAAGCCATATTCACATGTTTGTGAAAACCAGCTGTAGGACCGGGACGGACGTAGTACGTCGGTCGGCATAAGTGAACTTTGGGTGTTGTAAGCCATGGTTGGGTATTCTTAGAGATTATCCAAAGCTTTAACCACTTACAATGGGGAGAACGCCTAGAAACACGTTCTAGAGAAACTCCGCCAGAAGTTATGGAGACTGGAGCTCTCCAATGAGTATTTCGGCAAGTGAAAAACAAAGAGTTGTAATCAGCAAAAAGAGGAGGTTTTAGGCTTGTATTTAGGTTGTTGATGTTGAGTTTTGATGTGTGTCTAGTTTAGGGAAGAATGCCCGAGCATTACTTGCTCGGAGGAGCTCCTCTGGAAACCATGAGAAGAGAATAGTTTCTCTTAAGTGGGAGAGCTATGCTTGGCTTGCCCTCCGGTTTTTAGAGTGTAGAGGTGTGGTATTTATAGGCAAGAATAGGGCCACCAAGAGTAGGGAAATTTCCCTCCAAGAGTGTTTGAATTCTTGGTTGAAATCCCTCCACAAGCCTACATCAGTAAGGCATTTCCAACATGGTTTAATGGTGGCTTTTGTCAATCGTAGGGGAGGGTTTACCAAAGAGATGAAGGACTGGGTTATTGTGTAGCCAATGGAGGTAGTTGGACGTGTTCAGCATGGTTAAGGACAAAAGCCAGTCTGACACTTGCCTATCTTAAGCAGCCAATAAAGGCTGTAGGTCGTTTTTGGGCAAGGTCAGGGAGAATAACCAAGAGACTAAGGATTTGTCTCTGTTTATTTATGTATGCTCAGCATTTTTTTTATAATATTTAGGAGGAGAGAAAGAGTTGACTCCTAGAAAGGTGAGAATAAGTAAGTAAAAAAAATTGGAATGGACAAAGAGTTATTTTGTCTCTTAACGAGTGAGTGTAATAAATAGGCCAATAGGCTTTGTAGGATTTTTAGATAATAATGGACTTTTGATAATTAAAATTAGGTTTTGAGTAATTCATATTATTTTTGCTAATTTCCTCCATAACCTACATTATCTTAAATTTCTCATAGACCCAAGGCCTCTTAAGTGGGCCGAAGGTCTAATTGGACTGGATAAAATGGGCCCGTTCACATTCCTTAGCCTACCAAACCACGGTCCACGTAGAAGTCCCCAAAGCGTGACTTGGGTCCACGTACCTTACCTTGGGTAGTGTTGTGGGATTTGGGCCGAATCTGTACTGTGTGCTTTTTCAGGCATCAACAATAGTTATTTGACTAAAAAAGATATTAATCAAGAATAATAGGTAAAAATCTTAATCCATGCTTCTTCTTTCTCTTTTTATTATGTTACATTTTATGACATGTTATCGAAAAGAATAACTTATTTACTTTTATTTAATTTGAATGATATTTTTTCATTTAAGGGTTATAAAGATTTATACTTATTACTTAAACAAATATGGTTTCGCCTCTTGCTTTGTTTGATTAAAATACTACATTTTTAACATACATAAAAGAGGTCAAGTTTTTCTTTGCTCCACTATCCTCCATTTGCTATGTGTCATGCTCCAATCATTTTTGTCTTTTTTCTGTTTTTTTTTTTGTTTATATCATCTTTTTCTTTTTTCCTAACTTTCCTTATTTGTTTTCTTTTTTATTGTTTTTTTCTCGCATAAAGCTCTACTACAGTGCAGTTATTACAATGTGTTTCTTCAAAAAATATATCATTACTCCATTCAATATATATATATATATATATATTTATATCATTACTTCATCTTTTAGTTTTCTTTTTTCTTTTACCAAATACTCATGTACAATTTAATTCTTTTTCGATGTGCTTTTTTTAAACTATTTGTTTTATGCTTCTCATTATAAAATATTTTTTTTATGTTTCTCTATTTAACTTTTTCCATATAATCCTTATTACATCGAAATTGACCGTTCTAAATTACTTTTTTTTTTAAAAAAAATTTAAACGACCTACTAAGACAATTTTTTCTCCGATGTTTCTTTTTTGACAGTTTTTTCATGTACTCTTTTCAACTATTCTTTTCTCATTTATGTTGCTCTTTTTTTTTTCTAACTAGTTCCTATTGAGGTAATGTTCCTTATATATATATATATATATATATATATACGTCTCGAATTAAAATTTTTTTACGTGTTGCTAAATATTATTTTTAACATGTATCTCTTATTTAATTAGTTTCATGTCTAATTTGTCAACTAAAATAAATTTATTCATACATGTTCTACTTGTTAACACATATTTAACTTAAAATAATATTGGTTTTCTAATGTGCTTTTAATAAATATTTTTTTTCTAATTTACCAATTGAAATAATTTTTTCTTAAATGTATTCATGTTTTAACATCATGTTTCCTACAAACCACTCAAATACTACTTTCTCATATGTACATTTACTGTCTAATTTACTTCACTAAAAACTTTTCTTTCCTTTTAAAAGTGCTCCATTTAAATATATATTTTACTAACTTTGGAGAGTAATAAATCAAGAAAAATTAAAATTTTAAGAAAATTATAAATCTCCATTCGCACAAAAGTTAACAAACCCAATAAACACGTGCATTGCACCTGCTTATAACTAGTATCAACTTAATAAGAGCATGGTTTAGAGAGAAGAACGCAACAGAAAAGCCATGATTTTATAATTATAGCTCTTAACTTTGACTTTTCTCAGTTTATCCATCTGGTTTTTAAAACTATGAATGCATAATTCAAATATAAAAAAACTGTTTTCAATTTCACCACTCGTGCATTTTTAGCAAAATACAAAAGGAAAGATGAAAATATGCTTAAATGGTTTTTGAAAAATAATTTAAAAACATTTATATTAATCAAAACCATAAAATAGCACATACTTTTGAGAAAATAAGATCCATCACCCATACTGTTGTTAAGGAAAACATAAAAATTTTATTAAAATGGTTTTCAAAAAATATTTTATGGTGTTTTTATTTTTTGGTCCAAAAAAATACAAAAAAAAAATATGGAATTGAAACAGAATTTTAAATTTAAGAAATATTTCGATAATATATAAAAAGAAAAAATGAATTGAGAAAAATTAAAATTAAAAGTTGTACTTATCTATTTAACCAACAAAAAAAGTGAGTTAAAGCGTAACAGTTTCTTTAATTTTTTCAAATGTGGTTTTAAGTTAATCATGTTACAAAGGAAAGCAAATAACACATTGGGCTACTTAAAAAACCCACCAACCCGCCCCGTCCGCTAAAATCATGCCAAGTCATTAAACTGCCAACCTGCCCGCCCGCCAACTAGTACGGTTGGTTTGCGGTTTTATCCTTTAAAGGGTGGCGTTCAATCCGACCCGCCCGCTCTCTCATGACAAGTTTGCGGTTTCACCAACCCGCCCTTAACAAACCCGGCCCGCACCTGACCAAAACAGCCAACCTGCCCGCTTCTGCACCCCAATCCCAAATGGCTAAAAAAAAAGCGAAAAAAACGCTTTCCTTCTAAAAAAAAAAAAACAAATAAAAAATTGAAAACAAATAGAATCAAATCGTATCATCGGACGAAAACATCCTAAAGCAAAATCCAATCAGTCCCTTCAGCCAAAAAGAAACAATCAATCAGTCCCCACCTCAAATTTCAGCCAGTCCCCATGTCCCACGCGGCAAATCTCCGAATTCTTGTAACATCGGGTCCCACATTCTCCCTTACACATTTCCCATTATACCCTTGTCCCTGCAACTGAAGTCAACCCACTCTCCATTTCCAACCCTGAAAGAGGATCTGTCATCAATCTTTTATTGGCAGTTATAAGTTAAGGTTCTCTGTTTTTGTCGGAAAGAACCGATACAAACAGAGGACCTGAAAATGAAATCAGAAACTTTGACATTATTTCTCGTAAATCTCGCCGGAATCATGGAGAGAGCCGACGAGTCGTTGCTGCCCGGTGTCTACAAAGAAGTCGGAGCCGCTCTTCACACCGACCCGACCGGCTTGGGGTCGTTGACTCTGTTCCGGTCTATAGTTCAGGCTTCATGTTATCCTTTGGCGGCTTATCTCGCCGTCCGCCACAACCGGACCCACGTCATTGCTCTCGGCGCCTTCCTCTGGGCCTTCGCCACTTTCCTCGTCGCCGTTTCCTCCACTTTCCTCCAGGTTGGAAATATGAATTTGACAGTTTTGATTGCCGTGTGGTGTAATAATGGATATTTGGTTGTAAAAAGTTTTTGAGCTTTTTATAGTATTTGCTTTTGTTAAGTACAGATCTACGGGCATGTTGAGTTGGAATCAATTGGTTTATTGGATAAATAGGAATATTTGGTTTTTTCACCTTTGTTGATGTTGATTACTTAATAAGCAATGTGTATTTATTTTGTTTTTGAAATGATTTTTCTTTCATGGGGGGATGACTATATAAATAAAAGGGATTTTTTTTTCATTCAGCAAAAAAAAAAAAAAAAGAATAATAATAAAAGGGATTTTTTTTTTTTGGAGAAAAAAAGAGAAGTATTTACTATAGTGTTTACTATATTTAGACTATCCTTTTTGTTTTTTGTTTTTTTGTTTTTTTCTTTTTCTTCCACGGGATACGTCTTTCTAATTCTGATTACGTGCGTCATTTACATTGCTTAACATCATTGATTATCAAAAATAAATTTAAGAAAATGCACTATGTTTCTATAAGGTTTGAAACTTGGAAGTTAGATTCTCATAGATGGGAAAATATTGTTAGCATTAAATATTTTTACAGTTATTTATATATGTTTTTTATTATTTTTATTTTGTGAGGATTAGGATGTGATGGATAAAACATGGAGCAGAGTTTCGGGACTCTTTTCTGTTGAACTGGAAAAGATGTTTCAATTCCTTAAGTTGAGGATATTCACATATTAGTTAATGGCTAACCTATTAAATGAGAATAAAGCTTGAGAATTTACTTTGTAATGACAAAAAAGATCCTAAAATCTTTGCCAAGTTTGCTGGAGAATGTAAATCTGATATTGAGTTGCCCAATTTTGTGACATACATATTAGGTGGCGGTTTCAAGAGGCCTAAATGGGATTGGACTTGCCATTGTTATACCAGCAATTCAGTCTCTTGTTGCAGACTCGACTGATGATGGCAATCGCGGCACGGCTTTTGGGTGGCTGCAATTAACAGGAAGCATCGGCTCTATCATTGGCGGTCTTTTCTCGGTGTTAATGGCCTCGAAGTCTTTCATGGGAATTCCCGGCTGGAGAATCGCCTTTCACCTTGTTGCACTCATTAGTATCATAGTTGGTATATTAGTCTACTTCTTTGCTAATGATCCAAGATTCTCTGAGACAGACAGTAGAGCCGAGGATCAAATTGCTCGAAAGTCTTTTGTATCCGAAATGAAAGACCTAATGAAAGAGGCAAAGTGGGTTATTCGAATCCCATCTTTTCAGATAATTGTGGCTCAAGGTGTTTCTGGATCATTCCCTTGGTCAGCCATGTCATTTACTACAATGTGGTTAGAACTTATTGGATTCTCCCATCAGAAAACTGCTTTTCTTTGGACATTTTTCATAGTTGCTTGTTCATTAGGAGGCCTTTTCGGAGGTAAAATGGGGGATATCCTCGCGAAACGCTTTCCTAATTCTGGAAGAATAATTCTTTCACAGATAAGTTCTGGCTCGGCCATTCCTTTAGCAGCGGTTTTGTTGCTCGGGCTGCCTGATGATCCATCAACCGCGTTCATCCATGGACTGGTTTTGTTCATTATGGGATTGTCAACATCTTGGAATGCTCCGGCAACTAACAAGTATGTATCTGAACCTTTAAAAAGAAAAGGCAAAAAAAAAAAAAAAATCTAATTGAAAGTTGGACTTAGTTGCTTTCTTTAGGAGCTTCAGTTGTGCATATGAAAAATTAATCCATAGACCAATGAATGCCCCAAAGGAAGTCTGAAAAGGCAAAAAAAAAAAAAAAAATCTAATTGAAAGTTGGACTTAGTTGCTTTCTTTAGGAGCTTCAGTTGTGCATATGAAAAATTAATCCATAGACCAATGAATGCCCCAAAGGAAGTCTAAATTAGAAATGTAAAATGTACAATGTATAATTTATTTTATCCATTAATTTTTGTCATTGATGGACATAATAATTGGAGTGCTAGAATTTAGTTGAAGGTTGGACTTGATTTCTCTATGACTCTCTACCATGCTGTTTTAGAATCTTTTGATATGAAAGTGTTGTCACAGTCCAATATTTGCAGAGATAGTACCTAAGAAGTCTCGGACGAGCATCTACGCTTTAGACAGATCCTTCGAAAGCATCTTGGCGTCATTTGCTCCCCCAATTGTTGGCATTTTGGCTCAGAATGTTTATGGTTACAAACCGATCCCTAAAGGGTCATCAGACGCCGTAGAGATCGAGACAGACAGAGAGAATGCCGCGTCGCTAGCTAAGGCGCTCTACACCGCGATTGGCATTCCAATGGCTATCTGTTGCTTCATTTACTCCTTCCTCTATTGTACTTACCCGAGAGACCGCGAGCGAGCTAGAATGGATGCTTTGGTAGAGTCAGAGATGCAACAGCTAGAGGAAGACAACTCTCGTTCAAGAGAAATTCATGTTTCCGAATCGAATGGGTTGAATGGAAAAGAAAGAAGCGAAATCGACATAGAATATGGGGAAGAAGTTGGCCTTGATTTGGATGATAATGATGAGAAGTATTTGCTTTCCCATGAGCAGAACCTGCAGGGGAGATTGGATTTTGTAAAGTGAGTAAACTGCTTCCTCTAGGCCAATTTGAACCGTGAAAGAGTTTTATTTACTCATGTTTATTATTTGTTTCATAGAAGACTAAGTACACAGATATGTTCCCACAAATTCGGAAAGAAGAAATCACCTTAATTTATTATCTCAATTTGTTTGTTATTGTCGTAATCTGGAAATGTTTATTTGGACCAAGTAACTTCATACTATAATTTTTGTAAAGACTTCCTTGAATTGTTTTTCTCTAAATTCATTGTAAAATAACATTGACTATCACTACCTAAAAAAAATGTCTTTTAGTGACAAAAGAAAAGTATTGCTAAAAGTTGAACCATTAATGAATAGAAATCTAAAAAACAAATAAATTCATGGAAGAAAAAAATAAAGATTTATCAATATTCATAGAAATATTGGTGGTTAAATTGTACAGATATATCGATGAAAATATTGATATCTGTAGAAATTGATCTAAAATAAGGAAATTCATATTCAAACTTTACTTTTAAATGAGAATTTGAGAAACTCCAAAATAGCTTATTTATGATGTAGTGAGTTTTTGATATAGTAGTCGTTTATTTTAGTTGTCTCGTCGTTTCTTAATTTAGCTTAATTTTGTTATTAGTATGTCGTTTATTTTAGTTGTTATTTTGTTATCATTTTCTATATGAGTTATAAATAGCTACATTACCTATGTAATAGAGATACTTAAATAATTTAGAATTAAATACTAGACTTGTGTTTTCTCTCCAAATTGGAGAAAATCCCGCAAGGGGAAAATCCCCTTGTAAATTATTTTTTACCATGTAAATTATTTTTCAATCATAAAATAAATATTTATATAATAAACTACTATTTACTTCAAATAATTTTAAAATCTGTTATTTACTTTATTTATTTTCATAAATTTGATATTTGCTATAATTTCTCATCTTGAATTTGATGGATTGAGCTGCTGATTTGAGCTTGTTGGACTCTATACTATGTGAAAATTAAACTTTTTAAGGGCTTGGGCTTTTTATCTTAAAAGTTCAAGGGAGAAATACAAACATGCTACTCAAAAGAAATCATCTTTCCTTAATAAAAAAAAAAAAATCATCCAATGGTATAAAGTACTTAATATTTATGCCAATTAATTTACTAGAAAATATACTGGCAAAATCTTTTAAATATCCAACTAAATTATTTTTCTTCTCGACAATAATGAACGGACATATCCATCTCCGATCTTCGGAGAACATTTTGGTAAAACATTTGTTATATTCTACCAGAACATTTTTTTTAAATCAACAAAAGTAGCGAGAGACCAATGATATAAACAGTGGTGAAGAGCGTTTATGCCCAAGGGAGGCATATATATGCCCCTGAATTTTTGAAAATTTATTTTCTTACATAGAATTTTTCAAAATTGTTAATATGTCATCCCTACATTTTTAAAAATTTGTTTTGTTGCATTTATTTTTTGAAAGTTTTTATATATGCCTTCTCATTAATAAGATCTTATACATACCTCTTCATAAACAAAATTTTCTCTAATTTATTCCTATTAATCTTTTTTAAAATATATCTTTACTGAAACTTTTTTTCTTTTTGATTTATTTGCGCCCATGTTGAAGTAATTTTTTGTTTTTCAAATGTATCCCGACTTAAATATTTTTTTCCATACGTTGTTGTAGTTCTTTAAGACAATATCTTTAGAACTTTGGCATATTATATACTTAATTTTATAAACATTGCCCTACTAAAATAATTTTTAATATGTCTCTACTTAAACATGTTTTCTCATGCATCCTTTTCAAATATTATTTTCTCTTACGTGCCTCCTAAATAATTTATTTTCAAATTTGTCATATCAATATGATTTTCATTAAGTGTTCTATTTTATTTTCTTCACTAAATTATATGCACAAGAGAATAATAAATTAGGTTAAACTAATCTTTTATGAAAATTATACTATCACGTAGATTAAATTCAACCAATTAAATATTTATGTCGTTCCAACTATGTAATAGTATTAAGAGTTGATAATTTGAAGATATCGAAGGCTTTTCACGTTTTTAGCTTATGTCTTTCATGAATTAAAATCCTAACTCCGCTACTGAATATAAATATAAAGATGTTTGATTTTGGTGGCACACTATGTAGTTTTCTCAAAGTTTAACTTAGTAAGTGTAGTTATGTAATATCCTTATAAGTTGAAATCTTTATTTTTATATTTAAATGTTGTGGGACTCGAATTTATTTTACCTTTTATAATTTAAAGGGATTCGTACCTGATAAGTGTAGTTATGTAACGACACACACTTACAGCGAGTGCTGTCTACGACATCAATTTCTCTCGTTAATTACTTTCAATGAGAATTTTAGAAACTTTCAAACGGCTTTAGTCGCCGTTAAAACAAAAAACTTTTTTATAGTACTATTTTCGTACTCTAGATCTGTTTTCTGTTTTTCCTAGTTATATAGCGTTGAGAGTATTCTCTGGAGTGATGTCTTAATTGATAAGTATTCCTAATATTTAGGAGAAGATTTGTGTTTATCTTGTAAACTTATATCAAAGAAGTCCAAGAAAACACCAAAAAAATACGTATCTTGGCCCTTTTTGCTACTTAGGTCGTAGATTCTTTAAAATTTTAATACGGAGCTTTCTACTGTCTCGTTTATTTTACCAATTTGAATTTTTAATTCCAGTTTTATTACAGTTAAAAGTTCTCACAAAAAGTCACGTCTAACTTTTTTTACTATAATTAAAAGCTCTCATAAAAAGTCATATCCCAACTCGAATTAAAAACTCAAATCATCGAACTGAACGAGGTCTACATTAGTGATAGAATCAATAATATGTATTCATGAATGTAGTTATAAGATCTTATAAAAATTAAAAAAGAAAAAGAAGCAAAATTCTCATATGATAAGAACCTGACGATTCAATAGAGTGTTCTGCTGATCAATACTTATTTTTTTCGTACTCTAAAAAAAGTTTGCATTCTGATATATCCAAAATTAAGTGGTTCACAGCGTCCCATCCCCCATATCCTACTAAATTGCATAACAATAATCATGGCCATAAAATTGTTAGAAATGAACTTTCCACCACAACCGTAGTCGTTAGCCACATTTCTTCACAACCTCTCTTATATAACAACCTAAATTAGGTTCCACCAAACACAAGGCATTGACGATCTGCTTATTGTCGCAAACAAAATATAGGGAAAACCCAGCGTGACCATCCCTTTTACCCATTCAAGTGTTCGTTTCTACAACTAGTGGGACAGTGTTTGGGCCAGAGATCAGGAAAGATAAGAGCTATAAACAAATGGCATCGAACAAATTTGCCTTGGTGGTGTTCCTTACAGCCGGGATGATGATTTTGATGGAGATCGGAGAGGCTAGGCATCGGGTTTTGGACGACGTCGATGAGCCCGTCTTGCTGCATCCTGACAAGCCTTGCCATGAAAAATGCTACCAAAAGTGCATGGCCAGTAAAGGATCTAAGATTGCATGCAACGCTCAATGCAGCTCTTTGTGCAAGAAGACTAAATGCTTCTTCTGCACTTGGTCCAAACATACGGCTCCAATCGATCCATATGCCTGAAACTATTCTCTCTTCATGTTAGAGCAGATTAATAGTATGAGATTTTTATTTTGGCTCCAGTAAAGGGTTTTCTTTGAAGGAGTTTTCCTCCTCTGATCTGTGGAACAGAACCTTGTCTATTCTAGTTGAAATATAATAAGAATGGATAATATATAATGAAGAATTCTTTGGATATATATGATCGATTGCTACGTATAACGTTACATGCATTACAGGCATTGATTATTAATTGGGATCTAGTTTTTATGCTCATTCCATTATTTAAATTTAGTCATATACATGATCAGGATAGTAATATAGCCAAAACAAAAGCGTATGTGTGTGTGTGTATATATATCGATGTTCAACTATATATATGCTAATGGAGAAACCGAAAATAGAGTACGCAATATGGCGCAAACTAACCATTACCATAAGCCTTTTCATTCCCAGGTCCCTCAAAGTGCTCATACTTGCCATTTCGTTAAACTGTTTTTCTTTGACGTTTTTTTTTTTTTTTTCTCTTTTTTTTCCCCTAATACTTTTTTTCATATAGAGGAAATGAATTATAAATTTTTAAAAGATTGTACGTGTGTGTGTCCCGTCTTCAAAACCTTTATTTTTACGTTCCGCGCATAAAATCTGAGTCCAGAACTCCAGATCATTCTTCCACCTTTTTCTTTTGTTTTGTTTTTTTTTTTTGGTAAACATATATAATACTTGACAACAGTTCATAAATGTAGACGTCAAATTTTGAGTTCGAAAAAGACAGGAGATACGAAATAAGGCAAAAACTAAAACAACAAAATTATAAATTTATTCAACTGCTAGCAAGATTAGGGGTGGTGGCGCAGTTGGCTAGCGCGTAGGTCTCATAGCTTCTGAGTTATCCTGAGGTCGAGAGTTCGAGCCTCTCTCACCCCAAAATTTTTTCTATTTTCTTTTTTCTATTATTATATTGTTTATTTATTTATTTGGTTATATATATATATATATATATTTATCTGAACTAGTTGGGCTAGTTAACTGTTGGTACGTTGTTTTCTCAGTAAGGCTCTTATACTAACACAATTTTTAAATTGAATATAAATGATGCAAAATAAAACAAAACTGAACTCTACAAGATTTACAATTGTTGGGTGTGTTTGGAAATATTTTTGGTTGTTTTTGAAAATATTTTTACACGTCTTTTAAGGTACGAAAGTGAGAACGATCTTTAAACCGCATTTGTTAGTAAATGTTTTGAAAACAAAAATAAAAACAAAAAATAATGAAATTGGTTTTTGCAAAGGAAGTTAGAAAACGATTAAAAATTGTTTTTCCTTTTTCGTTTTCATTTTCTAGTACTTACCAACAATGTTACATTAAATTATTAAATTATTAGTTACTGATTATATAATATATTAATTAATAATTAATAAATAGATATGACTATAATTAATAAATAGATAGTAATTACTTAATTATTAATTATTATTAAATTATTATTAAATTTGTAATTTTATTAATAAAAGTGATAAATATTAAATATTAATCAATTATTTAGTTAAAGATTAATTGTCAAAAATTGATTATATAATATCTTAATAATAAAATAATTAATAATAGGTGATT